AAGACCAAACTACTTTCAGGATTGGATTCATCTAAAAAGTCGGAGCCGATAAATGTTACACACGATAGTTCAACTTTGCTCGTACCTGTGTATTCTGGCTCTGGACAATGCAAGCATAAGCCCGTTGATATTTCCATCAAGCCCGAATGCATATCCGAAAATCGGTCAGAAATTGGTCAAGATCAGATACCAAAACAAGATCCGTTAGTCGAAAAGATTGCGGACGATTCAGACGAGACTGATGCAGCGTCAGATGTTGTAAATGTTTCTAGGGTAATGATCTTTTTAAAAGTATTTTTATTTGTTATCTATCTATACCTATATTATCTATATTTAAAAAAGCTAATTTACGGTGTCCTTCTTATTCACTCTGTCTACTTTTCCTACTAGGAATCCGCATTTCCGTAATTCTGGCTCCAACCTATCGTACTTTTCATTAAATTATCTTTGGCCTAGCATTCGCTTAAGCATAATTTGGGGATTTCTCCGTATTTTTTGACTATTAAAAATTATTATGGCGCTCTTATTAGAAATTTTAGAAGTTATATTATTTACAAATTACACCAACTGAGTTACTTTCAATTTTTGGCACAAAAAACGAATATTACATATAACCAGGCAAAAATTATAGTCGAACGCTAACGGAAAATTTTCCTATTTTTAATCAATGATCTTTTGTTTTTACTAGGGCCTTCGTGAACGCCTCCACTTCCCACCTGTACCTCTCTTTCTTGAGCATGTGCGAGCCCGGATCAAACAGCTTCCCCTACCAAGAATTCCCCAACCAACCAGTGATGAGATGAAATTAACTCAAGGTGCCTCAAATATCTCATCAAGACTCATCCGTCACCGGTTTCAGAGAGCAAGGAGATTGCGAACTTTGGATGATTTGCTTGTATGGCGCCATAGATCTGCGGCTCATGATCGCCAAACGGCTGATCTCGCTTCTGCCCGACTTGCGGAGCTTAATGTGCAACGGTTCGATTTAGAAAATCGGTATCGCCAATCGCGCGAGCAGTTATCAGCGCTCGCTTCTGCGGCTCAGGAAGCGCGTACAGCGCGTGCAAAGGCAATAAAGGCAAAGCAGACAGCATTGGCAATAATGACAACTAATTTGCCATCTGATGCAAAGACTCGTTCTCTTGTAAAAAATTCTACTACTGAGTCCCTTCTGGAGCAATCGATCCAGCCACCAGACGCTTCAGCCCAACCTGCTGTCCCGATATCAAGCCCGTAAAAAGAGATACTTTGTTTTCTTGTGAATTTAATAATCTGGTTTATTTGTTAAATTCATAATTAATGAAAACACTATTTATAATAGTATTAATTTTTACTTGTAGTCGTGTTAAATTTCTCCACCATGATGATGTAGCTATTTTCTGCGATGCGGAGTAATCTTTAAAAATACCTTGGATACACTAGTATACTTAAGATCCTAACTAATGATTTGATTAATA